ATTTTTCATGCAAAACTTCAAACTGGGAGAAACCAGTCCATCTGCAAAGCAAACTGATTTTATTTATTGAAGCCTTAGGAACAAAACAGCCCCTTTTTACTTTTAACTACTAGCCTTGGGAATAGGAAACATTAACATTTCATAGAATGTGTTCTTTTGGGTCTTTCTGCAGAAGTGATTAAAACATCCAAGATTCAAACTTGATTTTGTTTGTTTTTAATAAGATTCATATGATCCTTGTTTTTTTTCATCATCATCATTGGTGAGAATGGGAAAGGAACCTGGAGGGGCCAGTTATAGTAGAAGGGCAGTGCACAAAGACAGGATTGAGACAAGTGGACAAATGGAGAAATGTTAGAAGGGGTCACTGAAGTGGAAAAGCAGGTGACCAGGTCAAAAATAAACCTACAGAGCTAAGTTATGTACAAGAAGTTGGAGCTGCAGAATGTGCCTCCTACTTGGACCCCCAAAAGGAAGGTCAGTGTGACATGAAAGATCACATAGGGTTCTTGTTGATTTCACTCTGTATCTTAGTTTTTCTGCTAGGTTTGCCCACAGGTTACCTGCTCCCAGCACTAGGTGGAAGGGCTTATTGCAGTTGTCAAAAACCACTGAAGGTAGGGCAGGGAACTAGTTAATGAAAGCAGCTGCCTGAAGAAAGACTTCATGTTCAAAATTTTTTAAAGGAAATAATAACCAAGAAAATTATTTTTTCCACAATTCAAGATGTTGATTTTAAAATCAAGAGACTGTTAAAATATATCACTCTATGGACATAAATTCAGCTTTGCATTGGCTACTTTCAAAATAATCCAAAGTCTGCTCACAGGAGAGCGTCATAGGAGGCCACGAGCAGAGCGCTCTGGGTCCTGTCCCCGGCTCCGCCCTTGGCTTACTGCGTACCTCTGTCTCTCCTGTGAAGAGCTATATCGTGAAGGCTTTGGGACTTGAAGATCTTTGGGGACACTGTCAACTCCCACATGCTGGCTTGTTCTTTGGGTGTCTGAGGTTGTGGTAGGTCTTCACTTCAGTTACCCTGTTATTTTGATCTCTTCTAGAGTAAAATGAGTGGGGTGGGGGAGGTGTTTATACGGGTATAGTATTGGTGGCAGGAGGTCAGAAGAGGCTCTGTATAGACCCAAGTATAAACCTTCAGTTACTGCCTGCATTTGCCACTAGATGGCGATCAGATATTTGATCCGAGATCGCCGGACTTAAGACTTGACTTTAGCCAAGACCCCCAAAATTGACCGTTTAAAGAAATGAAACCGTAAGCCAGTGCTCTAACTCATGCGTGTCCTAAGCCCTGTCAAACTAACCAGCAGTAGTTTAAGCAGTGAAGGGCTTCCCTGGTAGCTCAGCGGTAAAGAATCCACCTGCTACTGCTGGAGACCTGGATTCAATCCCTGGGTTGGGAAGATGCCCTGGAGAAGGAAAGGCAACCCTCTCCAGTATTCTTGCCTGGGAAATCTCATGGACAAAGAAGCCTGACAGGCTACAGTCCATGGGGTTGCAAAGAGTCAGACACGACTTAGCAACTAAACAACAATAAGCAGTAAAAAGGTAGAGTTACTGGAACTTCTCTGGCAGTCCAGTGGTTAAGACTCTATGCTTACAATGCAGGAAACACAGATATGATCCCAGATCAAGGAACTAAGATCCCACATGCTGTGTGCCCCCCCACCAAAAAAAGTTACCCATCGTTTATACTTTAGGTGTAGTTACATAAGGTTAGGAATCTTACCGAGGAGAAGGATGTGATAAAATCATGATGCATATAAAGTGAGCAACAGAGAATTGATGAATTTAGCAAATACCAGTATACTTGAGTGAAGGACCATTCTTTTATTTTTTAAGTTTTAAATTTAATTTTACATTTTTATTGAAGTATAATTGAATTACAGTGTTGTGTTACCACTATACAGCAAAAGTGACTCAGTTATACATGTATCTACATTCTTTTTCCCATTATGGTTTATCACTGAATGTTGAATATAGTTTCCTGTGCTATACAGTAGGACCTTGTTTATCATTTCTGTATATGCCAATTTGCATCTATCTGCTAATCTCAAGCTCCCAATCCAGCCCTCTCCCACACTCTCCCTCTTGGCAGCCACCAGTCTATTCTCTACAAGGACCATTCTTTGAAACCTTAAAACTGATAAAGAGATGTAAACATGTTATTAACACTGGCAGTGCCGCCTTGTAGGAATATGAAAGTTCATATTTCTTTAGTTCAGTAAGTTAGAGTAACTGTATACATTGAAAGGTCTATCAGTGAACATAATGAGAAATGCTTAGGGAATGTCTCTGAGCTCTGGATGTGACATCAAGAGAGACATCTGAGTCCTTCTATGTCAGGGGTTAGCAAACTTTGTGAAGAGTCAGATAGCAAATACTTTGGGCTTATAGACCATTTTAGGTTTACTGTCCATTCAACTCTGCCATTATTGTGTGAGGTAGCCATATACAATATGTAAATGATGGGTGTGGCTGTGTTCTAATAAAACTATTTACAAAAACAAGCAGTGATCAAGATGTGGCCCAGGTGCCATAGTTTGCTGGCCTGTTTGTGGGTGAAAGCTAGGGTTCATAAGTATTTCTCCTTTCTAGACTTCATTCATTGGCTTCTGTCAAATAAGGAGTTGGATTAGATGATCTCTGCTGTTTTTCAGATTTTATGTCCTTTAGTACCTCTTGCTGAAGCTAAATGATTCACAGGAGTGACCCAGGGTGGTATTTCTTTTATTTTTAAGATCGAGTTTTTGAAAAATCAAGCTTGAACAAGTTTGTAAGTTTCTAGAGCAGGATTTCTCAACCTTGACACAGTTGACATCTGGGGCTGGATAGTCCTTTGTCGTAGGGGAGCTGGCCTGCACATTGTTGGATGTTTCGCAGCATCTCTAGACTCCTGTACCTACTAGATGTCAGTTCAGTAGCACACCCCAACCCCAGGAGTTATGACAACCAAAAATGTCTCTAGACGTTGCCAGATGTTCCCTGGGAAACACAATCACCTCCACTTGAGAACTACAGCTCTAGAGAATTTAAGAATAACTGGAAAAAGAACGGAAATGGAAATCAGGCTGTGCAACCCAGGATGGCCACCAAGATAATAACCATACTTCTTTAGGAACAGGACCAAAAAAGCTAAAACCTAGAGGAACAACCAGCATATTAGAAGGAGAAAGACAATGAGAATTTTACTGACCCAATCAAGAGGGGCTGGAAAGTTGGTAACAGATGACTTTTTAATATTGATTTAGGTCATTTTCTTGAAGGTGTTCCTAAAACCGTTGAACCAAAATAGAGGGCTACCTATAATAGGTGGCTGAAAAGTTAAACTAAAACACAGAGACATGGATGAAGAGAAATATAAAAAAGACTGCTACTAAGGAATACCAAGAATACTTACTTTTCACTATTTTATTTTGTTTTATGAGGCCTCTAGCAGAAAGAAGTCATACTGAGTGAATTTTTTGGCCCTTATCTATGGGTCCTGGTATTTTGTTTTGCTTTGGATAAGTCAAAGTGTGGTTTATTCCTACAGTAGAATATTATTTAGTAGAGAAAATTCATCACAGCTTCACACAACTGCATAGTTGGATCCTTGAAGCTAAGTTTTAAATGTCAGTAAAGCTGGTCCTTTAATAAGTCCAGATCGTATAGCCAGCTTGTAAGTTAGTTACAATTAAAAGCCACAATCATCTCTATTCATTAATAAGGGTGCCCTTGATTTCTGTCTACCTTTTATTTATACCCATGTGTTTTTGAACTATGGTGCTGTAGAAGACTCTTAAGAGTCTCTTGGACAGCAAAGAGATCAAACCAGTCAATCCTAAATGAAACCAACCCTGAATATTCATTGGAAGGACTGATGCAGAAACGCCAATGCTTGGGCCACTTGATGCAAAGAGCCAAATCATTGGAAAAGACCCTGATTCTAGGAAGGATTGAGGGCAGGAGAAGGGGCAACAGAGGATGAGATGGTTGGATGGCATCACCAACTCAGTGCACGTTGAGTCTGAGCAAACTTCAGGAGATAGAGAAGGACAGGGAATCCTGGCGTGCTGCAGTCCATGGGATCGCCAAGAGTCAAGACACGACTTAGGGACTGAACAGTAACAACATATTCTTTTAGGAATTCATCCTCTTCCAAGTGTGAGTGATATTAATCGTAGCCAACAAGCCCTGATCATCCAACTCACTTTGTACAAGAAATTTTTTTGTCTTGTTTCTTATATTCCTTACAATGACTTTAAGCCAGGGTGATGTTTTTTAAACAGTGATCTAAGAGATCTAGAAATGTTAATTCTAGTCTCAGGTTCTAGTTTTGACTTGCTTTGTGACTTAGGGCTGTCTCTTCCTTGCTGAGGATATGTTTTATTTATCTGTAAAGTAGTAGAGAGATGACCCAACTCTAGTCCATAGAATGGCTATACAGGAATCATCTTCGAGGGCTAGTTTAAAATTTAGATTTCTGTGCTTCATTCCTGATACCAATTCTGTAGTCTAGGGTAAAGCCCAGGAAACCCAGATGAGTCTAGTGTGTGGCCATGTTTGAGTACAGTTAGAAGTGATCTCTAAGGTCCTTTCAACTCTTAAAATACTGTGGTTATATGAAACGTATTAATATATTTCCTTAAATGTCCTTTATTATATTATTTTCTAAAAGCTTTTTTATATTCTGCAAGAAGTAGTTGAGATTACTACATGGTGGTATACCCCTCATATGCTCATTGGTACATTTTTACATAAACTTGGTTTGCTATAATGTGGTCAACTTATGGCTTACGTGATAATCTTGATCCACAAAATGTATTTGAAGATGGTTTCTCTTTTTCACTAGGATGCTATATCTTAGTCTCTTTGTTCTCAATCTTGGATTTTGAGAAAGATTAAGTAGTTTGATATCCTGATTTCTGTATAAACTATAAAGTGGAATAAAATTAGAAATTCTTTGTGGTTGTTAATTTTTTTTGTTTTTCTTTAATTTACAGAATGCTCTTTTCAGTTGCATTAGCAGAAATGAAAGTAAGTATATTATAAGTGGTTATACCAGCAATCCAAAGAGCAAAACACAGCTTACAGAATATGATTTAGCTATTATAAATACTGCCAACACTTTGCTGCTATAACAAACTGTTGCTAAACCATCTGAAGGAATGTGCGCAACAGGATTCTGATAGGCTGCTTCCTCTGGAGCATTCGAGCCATTCATGAATTCTAACAATTCCCATGTCTTAGTTGGAGATTTACAAAGCAGATAATAGTGCTGGGTGTTTTAGACGAAGATCATGCCCCACTTGGATAACTTTCAGAAGTTGAGCACACATAATATGATGTAAAATAATGCAGCAGTTGCTGAGGGCTACCTCAATTCTTCCAGATATTCACTGACTGCTTGCTTTGTGCAGGGAAGATACACATCTTGGGGGCATAATCTGTACACAAAGAACCCTGGGACGTGGTAGGTATGGGCTTGAGTCACTGAGAACGTGCTGTGGGAGTTCAGAGGAAGGAGAGATCACCTCCCGCAGGGTGCTTAGAAGTAACTTTGTGGAGTTGGTACGTGAGCTGGGCCTAGAAGGACAGACATGATGTGAACAGTAGAGATTAGAGGAAGGGCATTCTACGTGAAGGAAACAATGAGAGCTGTTGGAGATGGGGAAACACATCTGAGGAGCAAAGAGTTGTTTAGATGGGCTTGGTAGTGGATATATTAAAATATCAGAAACATTAGCTGTCTGTACTTTATTTGCTACCCTTTCTTATTGGGATTTAGTTCAAGATTTCCCAGATAGTCTTTGACACATAATTTTATGCTCTCCCACACTGCAGGGAAGCCAGCCTCATGGGGCAGTCCTTCTCCCATTCTCACTTGTCTCTCTGTCATCAGCATCTATCACCTCTACCCTCAGTTTTAGCCTCATTGAGGTTGACAGTGATACATGTAGCCGTGAATGGAAACAGGCTTGTCTTGCCGTTAGTTTGGTACTAGCTGAGTTCATTTGTATATAGTTTTATCATTATTTCCGGAAGCCGCCTGAATTCCCTGTTCTATAGGAGTCGCAGAAACCTGAGTCTGGTTCCTCCGCGCTGCTGCCATAACCGTCCCTCATGATTATCAGAGATTTCCCGCCTGCCTTTTTCTTACCTTTCATGCCACGCCTCTACCTTTCTGGCTCCCTTCGGCCTCCCGCAGACCCCTCAGCCTTTCCTGTGAGGGCCTCTTGCTCCTCTTCATTATAAATCCCACATTTTCACCCCTAGCCGCTCATCCTGCTCTTCCCAGATAAATTAAATGGTCTACTTTGATTTTTAAAAATATGTAAATCAAGAATCACTTATTTTAAATGTGGGTTTTACTTTTCAATGTTGAAGCAGGTCATATCAGTTATGAGTTGAGAACTTTCAATTTAGTCCTAGCCTTGGAGATTTTTAAACAGCATAAAACTTTTGGGATTTTGTTTCCAGATAGACACATATAATTTGCAAATTTATGAAATGATCCTGATGTCTCTTAGTTTTTATTGGTCCTGTTTTATAAAGGAGATATTTGGAGTTTTGTTATCTTGGTATGTTCAATTTTTTTTTTTTTTTGCTTTGCTTTGCTTTGTTTTTGAATCTCTACTAATCTGACATGGAAAGAAGCTGTCCGGTGGGTCTCACCATGGGTGCTATTAGCTTTTGGGAGACAGTTTGATTGTATGGGACTGTTCTGTACATTTCAGAGCATTTAACAGCCCAGACCCCCATGTATTAAATGCCAGCAGATATCCTCAAGTTATTATGAAAACCAGAAATACTTCCACATGCATTCAAGTTCTCCCATGGGCTGGTACTGCTCCTGCTGAGGATCACTGCATTGTAGACTATAAGTTGACAAAATATGACTTTCTCAGACCACTCACCACCTGAATGTCCCCATGGCTATGCTTACAGTAGTTCTGACTTTAAGTACATGTCTTCTACGGCATGGTTTTATTTCTCAAATTCAAAAAGACACAGATTGTTTCACCGTTATTATGATGGTTGAGTGTTGGTGAATGGCTGGCTTCATCTCACTGTCATCTTTTTTCCCTCTAGTGGGCTCAGTCTGTTGCAGTTATGCAGGCCATCACACAAACTGCCGAGAATACTGTCAAGCCATTTTTCGAACAGATTCTTCTCCCGGTCCTTCTCAGATCAAAGCAGTGGAAAATTACTGTGCCTCTATTAGTCCACGATTAATACACTGTGTGAACAATTACACCCAGTCTTATCCAATGAGGAACCCAACAGATAGTAAGTAAAAGCCATATTTTTCCTCTCATTTCAATCTTTGGTAAAATAATTTGTAAAAAGGAAATAAATTTTTGAAGATATCTGTCTGTCATTTGGGAAACACCAGACCTCCTTTGGTCTTTAGATTTGGCAGATTGGTCATGTTTGTCATGGCTAAAAGATGCCAAGAAAGACGGAGCTGTTGAGGGTATGAAGAAACAGGCCCTCTCTATCCTGAGGGGGAGAATTCATTGGTATGGGTATTTTGGTGGGGGATGGGAGGGGAACTGGGGCTATGGCCATGAGCATTTCAAATAACCGTACCTTTTAGTCCAGTAATTCCATTTCTCAGAATTTGTCCTTTAAGAAAACTTACAAATTTGTAAAAACACATCAATTCATATAAAGGATGTTTGCTACAACATTGCTAGTAATAGAGAAAAACTAGAAAGAACCTAAACATCCACCGATAGGGTGTTGATTAAAATTGATTAAATAAACTACATATCTCTATAATAACAACATTATACAACCTGCATAAAGGGAGATGTATGTTATGTAGATCCATGAAGTTAGAACACTGCCTCCTACCATACACAAAAATAAACTCAAAATGGTGTAAAGATTTAATTATAAAACATTATGACATAAAACTAAAAGAGAATATAGGCAAAATATTCTTTGACATAAATCATAGCAATATTTTCTTAGATAAGTTTCCCAAGGCAAAAGAAATAAAAGCAAAATAAACAAATGGGACCTAATGAAACTTATAAGCATTTGCACAGCAAAGAAAACCATAAGCAAAATAAAAAGACAACTTACAGACTGGAAGAAAAATATTTGCAAAAGAATGTGACCAACGAGGGTTTAATTTCTAAATTATATAGATAGCTCATACAACTCAATATCAAAAAATATAAACTAATCAAAAAATATACAGAAAGCCTAAATAGAGATATTTTTCTAAAGAAAACATACAGATGGCCAACAGGCACATGAAAAAAATGCTCAACATCGCTAATTATTCGAGAAAAACAAATCAGAACTACACTGAGAGAGAAAACCAGAGTGAGGTATCACTTCATACCAGTCAGAATGGCCATCATCAAAAAGTTTGCAAATAATATAATACATGCTGAGGAGGGTGTGAAAAAAAGGGAACCCACCTACACTGTTGGTGGGAATTTAAATTGGTACAGCCACTATGCAGAACAGTATGGAGTTTCCTTAAAAAACTAAAAATATGATCAGCAATTCCACTGCTGGATATATATGTGGAAAAGATGAAAGCTCTAATTTGAAAAGAACCATACTAGCCCTTGTGTTTGTTTTTGTTTCATTTGTAGACAAAGACTTACATAGACAGGTGCAAAAATAAATCTTCTTTTGCAACCTGGAACTCATTGTTCTGTATGAGATTTGTTACAGATAAGAAGGAACATGATACACAAAACAGATATTATGGGTGTCTATTGGTGAATGTAAAGATTTTTTCCAGGGCTATAGAGCTGATACTTTTCTCTCATATATTAAGCTTTTAAATTATTAGCTGTATTGATCTAGTTGTTAGTTTTAATGTTGACATAAAACAAGAAAAGAAAAGAAACATGCTAGTAGTGTCCAAAGCAGCATTATTTAGAATAACCAAGACATGGAAAAAACCCAGGTGTTCACCAGCAGATGAATGGATAAAGAAAATGTGATAACATACGATGTAATATTAGCCATAAAAAGAGAATGAAATAATGCCATTTTCAGCAACATGCATGGAGTTAAAGATTTTCATACTAAGTGAAGTAAGTCAAAGAGAAATAGTATATCACTTATATCTGGAATCTAATAAAATATAATACAAATCAACGTTTTACAAAACAGACTCACAGACAGATAACGAAATTATGGTTATCAAAGGAAAAGGGTGTGTGGGGAAGGATAAATTAGGAGTATGAGATTAACAGATATACACTACCATGTGTGAAGTAGATAAGCAACAAAGATTTACTATATAGCACAGGGAGCTATATTGAATATCTTGTACTAACATGGAAGAGAATTTAAAAATATATGTATAACCAAATCGCTCTGCTGTACACCCGGACCTAACACAATTCTGTAAATCTACTACAATACCAAAAAAATGTGTATTTATTATAGAAGTCCAAGATGTAATAAGCAAGGAAAGGAAGTTGCAGAACTAAATGTATACAGTGAGATTCATTTTTAGTTATATACCTGTTTGTTCCACCTTGTATGGATGTGTAATATTTGAATTTGTAACTTTTATAATAAAAATGTCAATATAAATGAGATTCTGATACTTTTTAAAAGACAAGGCCTCCTGATGAACTTGCACCTTATGGGATCTTCAGAATCTCAGCTTTGTAAAGCCTATAAATCATTTTCTTCATTTAGAGGTGATCAGACTTAAAGTAACTGACTAATTAAGCAAAACTGGCAAAAGGCTTATAAGCCAGATGCCAGTGTTTTGACTTACACTGGGATATTCAAAGACTTGTTTTTATAAACTCATAAGCAGTGCTGTGCCTTGTTTGGCCAGATTCTAACTAAGGCTTATGACATTCGGTGGTTGTGTGAGGAAAATCAGAGGGTGAAGCACTTGCTGCAAATAACATCATTTATTTTAAAGAGAGATCTGTCTTCACTGACATTTAGGCTATGGAGAGGTGCTGCTGAAGCAAAGTTGATAGATCACAGCTCAAAAAGAAGCGGGGGGCAGAAAATGTTTAAGGGTAAAAGAACAACCATCTCAAATGTCTGTGCTAATATATAGGAAAACTGGAAAAGAAAGTAGAAACAGATATGCCTGAATAGGCTTCTTAAGAAGTCAAACTCCTAAGAAAAGTACTTCAGAGAAGCCCTTTGAATTCTATAGTCTGGTTGAAAGTGTTCACTTGCTTTCTAGTTTTTTATAGAAAAATTTAACAAACTGATACCTTGTCAGAGTTTGTTATTGTATTATTTAAATTACTACTTAGATTAATTTGTACAGATTTATAAATCTTTTTATCCCAGAATGTGATGAAATACAGTATTTGTGATTATTGCTATTAAAATTAGTCATCTTTCTCATTATGGCAAGAACATGATCCTTTTAGGTAGTTGTTTCTAGCATGAAATAATTCCAATTTGATCTATTGTATCCTTTCCAGGAACATAAAATACCTTGCATGTAAGGACCTCTTTGGTGTAAGAGGATCTTTCATTTATCTAGGAATGATGCTGGAGAGCCCATGAATGAGCACACTGGAAAACCTGGTAATAGATATCTAGTCCACCTTTAGCTTTTCACTTTTTTGCCACACTGCAAAGCAATGGAAAGAGAATTTGGTAGGCTCAACATCCTGGAGATATTGACGTGACTCAGTAGTAATGGATCCCAGTATACCACTTGATTCTTCTGCCTGAACAATGAAGGCTATAAAACCAGCTAATTAATCCACTTCTGTTCTGAAACTGTAGGTTTGTATTGCTGTGACAGAGCGGAAGATCATGCTTGCCAAAGTGCCTGCAAGAGAATTCTGATGTCTAAGAAAACAGAAATGGAGATTGTCGATGGCCTCATCGAGGGTTGTAAGACCCAGCCTTTGCCTCAGGATCCACTTTGGCAGTGTTTCCTTGAAAGCTCACAGTCTGTTCACCCTGGAGTCACTCTGCATCCTCCTCCCTCCACAGGCCTTGATGGTGCTAAATTGCATTGTTGTTCCAAAGCAAACACTTCAACCTGTAGGTCAGTATCTCATTTTCCTTTATTAAAACCAGTAGAAAATAGGATTTTAATGAATGAATTTAAGGACGTGTGTGTTATATTCTCACACTGTGTCGTGTTAAGAGTTCAGAAGATATAAAATCCCTCATTCTTTCATTCAGCAGGTGTTTATTGTGCATCATGTATATGTAGAACATTGGTTTTGTACATTGAGCTAAAAGCACTGTGTTTTGGAGTGAGAGGATTAGCATTGGCAGGGCATTAAATATTTAAAGATGATGTAATATGAATTCTACCCTCGAGGTTATCCTCAAGTAAGACGACAGTGTAGATGTTGTGACCTGACATCTAAGAGATATTCTTTTTGTTAAACTATGAAACTTTGAACTTAATCAACTTTTTGTGTATATTGGTGAATAACCTGAGTTGACACTTGTATCCGGAATTAGACAGCAGTGTATTAGCATTTATTTAGGTGGTACACTTAGGGATAAAAAACTAACAATACTGTTTGTGTAGGCTCAAGGAAACACAATCTAGAGACAAGAATAAATGGAGATTAAGTAATGGTAGAACCCAGATGAAACAGAAGTTCGCTTTATTAGGGATATTTTGGGTGGAAATGTACCACATGTTACTATAATATCCTGAAATAAATACAACATACAAAGAGTGAAGCAGTCTCTTCTTGGGGTGCGGGCGGGGGTGGTGTTTGTTTTGGCCTCACTACACAGCTTGCAAGATCTTAGTTTCCTGACCAGAGATCAAACCCAGGCCCCTGCAGTGGAAGCGTGGAGTCCTAAACACTGGACCAACAGGAAATTCCTCTGTGTTTCCTAAACTGGATAGACTTTACCAAAAACTTGTGCCTAGAATAGCTCATTGAACTTTACCAAAGATATGAAAAACTTTGAAAACATCCAAAGAAAATTAACAGAAGGACTAAAAGAGAAGTTAAGTTGGTCCTATAATTGAAAATTGGGTTACTGATAGGAATTATAAATGTATATATTTGGGAAGGATCCTGAATAATTCCTTGAGTGTCTACTAAAGAGTTGTGCCTGTCGTCAACTGGAGATTGGAATGGCTGTGTCATCCAAGAAGAATTTCAGTAAGAAACACTACATCTCTTATCTTGATGTAAGGTTTTATGGTTTACTGAATGCTTTTACTTTCATCTTGTTCATCTTCATGAAATCTGACAAGGCTGGTATCATCTTATGACTGATGTCAATTTGTGCAATTCTTGTTTATATATAGAAAACTAACTTGAGATATTAAACAAGGTCCAAGGTCATACAGAAAGTTAGGACTAGAGAAAGGACTGATTTTCCAGATCAAGGTGCCTGTTGGATCTTGGTACTTCAAGGTACCTCAACTTTCTCATCCCCATGTGTGTAAGCTCCATGGAGAGTAGGGACTTTATTTCTTTTATTCACCGCTGCATAGCCAGTGCCTTGAACAGGGCCTCACATGAAATAGGCACTCAATAACTGTTGGTAAAGTGAATGAGCAAACTTATAAAAGTAAAGATACCCTCCTCATAGACGTAATTGTGAGAGCCAAAATGTGGCAGAGGTGGGGAATTTTTACTTGTGACTTTGCACATTCTGGTAGTATTAAAATTTTATATTCTGTATTACTTTTTTTATACTTTTATTACATTTATCAATATTAAAAATTAATGAGTATAATATGTGAAATCACTATGGAAATGATCCTGATTTTGTTTCAGCTATATATATAATGCACCGAAGTTGCTTTGTAATCATTGAGTACTGAAATGAGAATACATACATATTACAATAATATATGTTTAGTATATATTGCTATATATAATAGTTTATAGCAGCTTTGAAATTCTTAAAGTGTTTATATATAGGCTGTCTTGGTATATCTTAAGGACTATAAGTTGCTTGGGATACTTTTTCAGGGAGAAACTAGTGAGCCCTAAGTCTATAATGCTTCTTAAAAGGAGTCTGAGGATCAAGTTACAGTTTTGCCTCATGTGACTGGAACATAAATATAGTGGACTATGTCTTGGTAGAAGCAGAACCATGTGCTTTACATTCGCTGCTGCTGCTGCAGAGTAGCTTCAGTCATGTCCAACTTTTTGCAACCCTATGGTCCATAGCCTGGCAGGCTCCTCTGTCCATGGGATTCTCCAAGCAAGAATACTGGAGTGGGTTGCCATGCCCTCCTCCAGGGGATCTTCCTGACCCAGGGATCAAACCTGCATCTCTTATGTCTCCTGCATTTGCAGGCAGATTCTCTAAACATAAAAGAGAGATCAGAAATATAGAGAGGAATCTTGTGCCAAGAATAAGGATGTACAAATACTAAGATTAAACATTAAATTGAGCACCAAACTTTCTAGCAACCATGGCAAAGAAAAGAGATCAATGATAAAAGAAAGCTAACTTTTTCATGTAAAAGATTACTTTTGGGGGCTCTAAATTCTAGAAGATAGGTCTTAGTCTTTTGATCTTGGTTTTTTTTTTTTCATTTATGTCCTAAAGCACAGTTCATAGAGTTTAAGCTTTATGCAAATCAGATATTCATTTGGCTCACCTGTATGTTTCTGTATTGTGCTTTTGTTTCAGAGAACTGTGTACTAAACTGTATAGCATGAGCTGGGGCAATACACAGAGTTGGCAAGAGTTTGATCGCTTTTGTGAATATAATCCAGTGGAAGTGTCCATGTTGACCTGTTTAGCTGATGTCCGGGAACCTTGCCAGTTGGGCTGTAGAAACCTCACCTACTGCACTAATTTTAACAACAGGTGAGAGCAGATTACTCCACAGGGAATGGAAGTATTTTATCATTAATTGTCTTATGTTTAAATAAGTGAAAAAATGTCATTTTAGCAGGAACTCTGCTAAAGTGTTCCTTAGCAGGAGTTCCTTAAGAACTCTGCTTTTGTTCCTGCTAAGTTAAAGGGAAGTAGTATATCTTTATCATTTCATCTTTAAAGGCTATATTCTATCTGGTAAATCACCACTGGGAAAGGAAGCACTATAACAAAGCCACTTCTAATCTGAAGATGCTTCAAACTTCTAGAATTCAGAGTCCCTCTACCTTCAGTCTCCCATTCTTCCCCTCTCCCTTCCTCTGCACCACCAGTGAAAAAATAATTCATTGCAGAATAAAGCAGTGTGAACAATTTGCTCATCCAAATACCCTCTTATGAGAACTTGCTGTGAAGGACCTTCAGATTGGCTGGAGTTCACACTGTGAGTCCCCTGTGTCATACAAAAGCTTTCTTTACAGAAGCAGTTGACTAGGTGTTTTCGTGAGATATCCATTATGGTAAGAAAAATAAGAGCCAAGAGCTGAATCAGTGGCTGAAGAAGGAGTGAAGACACCAGGACAGCGGCCTCAGAAGCCGAGGGGTGCCGTGCCAGAGAAGCCAGAGAGGGAGTTCCTGAAGAAGAGGCGGCCGGTTGTTTGTGAGGCACAGCCCAGAGATCGGAGGGCAGAAATGAAGAGAGTCAGTCAGCTGATCCAGGAGGAAGCTCATAGGATGTTTACCTCAGCTAACACACCTTTGAGGTCTGTTACCTTAGTCCCTTGAGGTAAACACATAGGATGTTTACCTCAAGCTAACACACCTTGGGGAGTTTACCTCAAGCTAGTTCCATCCTCTTAAAAGTCTTCAGATTATTATTTTAAGAAAGAAAATTGAGATATCTTTACAACTAATATTAGCCAATAAGGACCTGGCTTAGAGGTTGAGCAAATTTGAAATCTATCAAATGTTTAAAGTTAAATTTGGACATATTACTAACTTGTGGTAATGTTGGAGCAGTTTGTATCGGACTAACACTCCTGTCAATACCAATTATGGCTATCATGGCGGGCTTGCTGAAGACCACTGACCTTGTGGGATTAGCTGTATGTAAGACTCCATATGAGAGGCTAAAAATATTGTATACAAGGATTCTTGATATTCTTGGACAGATCCCTAAAGCATGCAGCATATAGAAAGTATACAGAACAGATTACCAATGAGAAGCTGAGTATGGTTAAAGCAGAAGTGAAGTGAAGTCGCTCAGTCGTGTCCGACTCTTTGCGACACCATGGACTGTAGCCTACCGGGCTCCTCCATCCATGGGATTTCCCAGGCAAGAATACTGGAGTGGGTTGCCATTTCCTGCTCCAGGGGATCTTCCCGACCCAGGGATCGAACCCAGGTCTCCCACATAGTAGGCAGAGGCTTTACCATCTGAACCACCAGGGAAGCCCGGTTAAAGCGGAACCAGATGTTTAAAATCTAGGAGAGCAACTTCAGGGTGGCCAAATAGAAAAGTTGATTCTTCAAGCTGAAAAGGAACTAAGCCTGACAAGAAAAATGGTTCAGTGGAAACCATGGGATCCTTTAGTGAAAGAGCCTCCTGCCAACCAATGGAAATGGCCAGTATAAACAGCCTTCAGTGACTTGTGTGTTGATAGGAAACTGATATAATTAAATATTTTTTATGTTAAAAAATACCAATTATTAGCTCTACAACGTACAAAAACACAATTGTCTTGGAGGCCTTTGAAAGTGACCTAAAGCAGGAAGAACTACATCTCATGAAAGACAGAGACCACACTGAGTGAGGGCCGCTTTTATCCAGCTTTTCCTTCCTAGGCAGTCTTAGTCCCCTGGCACGGCATATAGATTTCAAGCAAAAAGCAGCAGTATTGGACTGAGGAGTTAAGAGATCAGAGTTTGGGGCTGCCAGAGTAGCTGGATGTGGAGACAGAAAATCCCAGAAAGGAGGGAACCGCAAAAGGAGATGACATAAAATCTGCATACAAACTCCCCTTAAATCCTTGAATTAGACAGAGTCATAGGGTACAAGGTTAACATAAAAAAGCAAATTGTATTTCTGTTTATTAGCAACAAAAAATTAGAAAATGAAATTTATAAAAAAATTATACAACTGCATAAAAAATATGAAATACTTAGAGATAAATTCAACAAAAGATGTATAATAACTCTACACTAGAAACCAGAAAACTTTGCAAAAAGAAATTAAAGACAGAAAATACATGGAGAGAAGTACTATGTTATAGATTAGAACATCTTAATATTGTTAAGATATTAATTCTCCTGAAACCAATCTGAACTGTAGTCAGTGCAATTTCAATCAAAGTCCCAAATGACTTTTTAAAATAGAAAGTGGCAGTCTAATTCTAAAATTCATATGAAAATACAAAGAACCTAGAATACCTAAAACAGTATTTTTAAAGACTAAATTTGGAGACCTTACAATACATGATTTCAAGATTTATCATAAAGCAATAGAAATTAAATCAGTATGATATTGGCATAAATTGAGACAAACAGATCAATGACAAAGTAGAGAAGCAAGAGTAGACCCACACAGTACTGAAACTTGATTTTCAACAAAGCAAAGCAACTCAGTGCAAAAGTAACATCTTTTCCACAAATAATGCAGAAACAATTGAATATCCGTGTGAAAACAGAAAAGGACCTTAACCTCTATCTTGCACCATAAACATTAATTCAAGATGGGTCATAGAAATAAAAACAAAACCTAAAAATAAAAGATTCTAGAAAAAAAATAGGAGAATCTCTTGACAACCATGATATAGACAAAGATTTTGTAGACAGGACACAATATATTAATTATAATAGAAAAAAAATAATGAACTGGAGTTCAACAGCAAACATTTTTGTTACCTAAAAGACACGATTTAAAATTTGAAAAGATAGGCCACAGTCTGAGAAAAAATACTTCCTACATCACACATGCACACACACACACACACACACACACACACACACACAATCACACACAGGTGCATTTGACAAAGGTATTAATTATATCCAGGATATATAAATAATTCCTATAACAGCATAGTAAAAGTCAAACAGCCAAATTGAAAAATGGGCAAAAAAACTTCCAAGGACACTACATCAAAAAAGACATCAAAACAAACACTTAGTATAGAAGTTCATTACTATTAGTCATGCAAAAATGCAGATTAAAACCCCAATGAGATGCTTCCTGATACCAAATAGCTAAAATCAGAAGACTGCCAAGCATGTGCATGAAATGGAATTTTCATAATTTGCTACTGGGAGTATAAGATGTGTTTAAGTACTTTGGAAAGTTTTCTTGCAATTTCTTAAAACGTTAAATCTGTGCCCTAGCAATTTCATTCTGAAGCATTTACCCAAGAGACATGAAAATATATGTTCCCCCAAAAGGCTTACATAGCAGCCTTATTCATAAGAACTCCAAAATGAGGAGCGGGAGTGGATAAATAAAACATCTATCAAGAAGAGAATGAAAGAACATATTGTGGTATTTAAACAACAGAATAGCTAGTACCTAGCCTGGGGAATCCCAGGGACGGCGGAGCCTGGTGGCCTGCCATCTATGGGGTCGTACAGAGTCAGACACGACTGAAGCGGAGCAGGAGAGAAAAAAAAGCAAACTACTGATAAACCCCAAAACACAGATGAACCTTATGTTGAGTGAAAGAAGCCCGACCCAAAACACATCCACATTATGAGTCCAAGGAGAGAAAAAAGTAATCATTGCGGGTTAGGATCAGAGTCTCCCCTCGCCCCTGGCAGGAGGGGAGAGTGCCTGGAGGAATGCATGAGGGAGCTTCATGGAGTGATAGAAATGTTCTGTAGTTTATTTGGAGGTTTGATTATATGGATGAATATAATTTTCCAAACTTACTGAACTCTTAAGATCTTCACATTATATTGTATATAAATTAAATCCCAATAATATAGTATCTCAAATAAATTTTTAAAGTTAAAAAAATTTGTTCATTGAAAGATACCATTGAGAAAAAATGAAAAGGCAAACCACAAGCTGACAGAAAATATTTGTAATACGTGTATCTGTCAAAGAACGTCCAGAATATATAAAGAGTTCTTACAACTCAATAGTAAAAAGACAACTTTAAAAAAAAGTCAAAAGGCTGGAAAGATGCTTCACAAATGAAGATATCAAAATGGTCAATAAGTGCATGAAAAGGTGCTCAGTGCAATTATTCATCAGCAAAATGCAAATTAAAACCAGTGATGTACCTCTACACACAATTGAGTGACTAACTACAAAGCCTGACAAGCATGTAAATCAGCTAGAATTTTCATACTTTGCTGGCGAGAGCAGAAGATGATATAACTGCTTTGGAAAACAGTTTGACAGTTTCTTAGAAAGTTATAACCCAACAGTGCCATTCACAGCCAGGGGAAAGAGACATGAAAACCAGAAGCAACCTGAATGTCGCTAAACCGGTGAATGAGTAAACCTGCATTTCTCAAAGTGTGTTCTGTTTTCCCAAAACCCCATGAGATTAAAACTATTTTTATAATAATACTAAGACATTATTTGCCTTTTTAACTCACAAGAGTGAATAGTGAGGTTTTCCAGCTGCTTTAAGTTGTGATATAGCAACAGATTGAATTCAGGGGCAGATATGAAAGTGCATGTGTCTTCTATAAAGCCAAACATTAAAAGAGATTTTCAAAACTGTGAAACAGACCTACCCTTCTCTTCCTTTTGTTAATGTGTAGAGGGTTTATCATTTTAAATGGATTAATAAGTAGTTTAAAAATCTCTCCATTTTGATTTATAATATGATGATGGGGTATTGGTATATATAGTCTACATAAACAGAAGCTTTTTGAGAACTCAGTAGTTTCAAAAGTGTAAATGGGTCCTGAGATCAAAAAGTTTGGGAACCACTGGGATAAACAAATTGTGATACATTTATTAATAAAATATGACTGAACAATAAAAAGAGAAAGCAATTTATATGCACAACATGAGTAAATCTCAAGATTCTTTAGCTCAAGATATTAGACCCAGAAGACTACATACAGTGTGATTCCATTTGAGAATTAATCTCTGGTGATCTGAATACGAATGGTGGTGGCCTCTGGGGTGCAGTAGCAGGGAAGGGCATTGACTAGATGGGGACACAAGGGAACTTTTTAACAGGATAGAAATGTTCCTCATTGATTTGGATATGCCCGTGTGAATGTATATGTTTGTCAAATTGAACTAACCATAAGATCTATAAATTTTATTTTTATAAATTATACCTCAGTTTTTAAAACTTGAACTTATTTATTTTATGAGATGAAAGAAATGGTATGGTCTGAGATGATAGTCGACAGTGTTTTGAGGTTTTTAACTGCCTCACAAAAACCTGTATTATGAAGAAAAATTTCAATCAGAGTCTTAGTGCTGATGTCTACTTTGAATCTTCACACATTCAAAGCTGACATTCTTTGGTGAGTTGTATACACTTTCTTTTTTAAAAAAAAATTTTCCTGATATATTGGCATGTCAAGATTTTACACATTGCTTCTTTCTAGAAAATAATTGCCTCTTGATTCCTTCTGGCCTTTTTTCTCTTCAGGCCAACAGAACTTTTCAGGAGTTGCAATGCTCAGTCAGATCAAGGAGCCATGAATGACATGAAGCTGTGGGAAAAAGGAAGCATAAAGATGCCGTTTATCAACATACCTGTTCTTGACATTAAAAAGTGCCAACCAGAAATGTGGAAAGCAATAGCTTGTTCGCTGCAGATTAAGCCTTGTCATAGTAAATCACGGGGCAGTATTATTTGCAAGTAAGTGTCTTTCATCGTGCTGGCTCTCCAGTTTTGGTTTGGAGCCTCTGTGACCTCTACCCACAGCCCACCTTAGAGTCACCGCCCCCTCTTGTCAAATGTGCTCCCACTTTCCCTTCTCTGCCTGAAACACTCTTCCTCCTACCTGCATCTTCACTCGCCCACTGCCTGTCCTTCTAGCCCCTCTTAAATTCCAGGCATTGCTGTGGAATCTTCCCAGATCTCTCCAGCTGATACGTAGTTTATCCAGACTACAAGTTCCTATAGACCTTCATTTGTACTTTTCTCATGGAACTTAGTTCAAGAAACAGTGAGTACCTTCGATGCACAATTCTATTCGTTTATTTTAATTTGTGTATTTGTCTTGTATCCTGTTAGCTTTGCTCTCCTTGAGGATAAACATTCTTCTTTGAACCTTTTTTTCTTATCTTTTCTCTCTTCTTTTTCTCCTCTTCAGGAATGAGCATAATCCTAAAGTGCAATAGATATTCCAGAAATGTTTGATGAGTGAAAGACTTAGTAAATATAGTCAATAAGTTCTGTTCCTAATAAACAGTTCTGAATGATTTACTTATTAAGATCTATTGTAGGATAAAGTTTTAAGGACCTATTGTATAGCACAGGGGACTATACTCAATATTTTGAAATAACCTATAAGGGAGAAGAATCTGAAAAAGAGTATATATATATAGATATAGATATACACACACACATATATATATAACTAAACCAGTTTGTTGTACATCTGAAACCAACACAGCATTATAAATCAACTATACGTCAATTAAAAAATTAAATTAAAAAAATTTTAAGTAAATAGGAAGATAAAAAGAGGGGATCTGGATAAAATAAAGATGAAAGTTGCTGTGGTGTGTGAAACCAGAAGCATTAACTACATAGTAATCTCTGTCAGCTTCTCTTCAAGCATCTATTTTTTGCCAAAAACCTTTTCCAAAACCAAGTTAATATCCAGCCCCTAAGTTTCTGGGCACTTGATGACTGATTGCAGATTATTTCAATCTTGAATAGGGTCCAGATCCATTCTCTGACATGACTTGGGGGTGGCCTGAGTAGGGGAGAGTTGAGAAATAACTACTGTGTGAAAGGCAAGAGGCAACAAGTGGGAAATTTATAGACTCTTAGCACAGAAACTTGATAGAGTGGTCAAATTTCTATTGAAGACAGAAAATTTTAAAGTAGTGAATTTCCCACTTGTTACAGGCCAAACACTTTAATGTTGATATAAACAGATATTTTTTTTTCCCTATTGTGTCATTTATTTATTTATTTTTTCCATTTATTTTTATTAGTTGGAGGCTAATTACTTTACATCATTGCAGTGGTTTTGTCATACACTGAAATGAATTAGCCATGGATTTACATGTATTCCCCATCCCGGTCCCCCCTCCCACCTCCCTCTCCACCCGATCCCTCTGGGTCTTCCCAGTGCACCAGGCCCGAGCACTTGTCTCATGCACCCAACCTGGGCTGGTGATCTGTTTCACCCTAGATAATATACATGTTTCGATGCTGTTCTCTTGAAACATCCCACCCTCGCCTTCTCCCAGAGTCCACAAGTCTGTTCTATACATCTGAGTCTCTTTTTCTGTTTTGCATATAGGGTTATCGTTACCATCTTTCTAAATTCCATATATATGTGTTAGTATACTGTAATGGTCTTTATCTTTCTGGCTTACTTCGCTCTGTATAATGGGCTCCAGTTTCATCCATCTCATTAGAACTGATTCAAATGAATTCTTTTTAATGGCTGAGTAATATTCCATGGTGTATATGTACCACAGCTTCCTCATCCATTCGTCTGCTGATGGGCATCTAGGTTGCTTCCATGTCCTGGCTATTATAAACAGTGCTGCGATGAACATTGGGGTGCACGTGTCTCTTTCAGATCTGGTTTCCTCGGTGTGTATGCCCAGAAGTGGGATTGCTGGGTCATATGGCAGTTCTATTTCCAGCTTTTTAAGAAATCTCCACACTGTTTTCCATAGTGGCTGTACTAATTTGCATTCCCACCAACAGTGTAAGAGGGTTCCCTTTTCTCCACACCCTCTCCAGCATTTATTGCTTGTAGACTTTTGGATAGCAGCCATCCTGACTGGCGTGTAATGGTACCTCATTGTGGTTTTGATTTGCATTTCTCTGATAATGAGTGATGTTGAGCATCTTTTCATGTGTTTGTTAGCCATCTGTATGTCTTCCTTGGAGAAATGTCTGTTTAGTTCTTTGGCCCATTTTTTGATTGGGTCATTTATTTTTCTGGAGTTGAGCTGGAGGAGTTGCTTGTATAATAAACAGATATTTAAAAAGAGAAAGGCACGAAGGAGTGAGGGGAGAAGAAAGGAAGAAGCAAACATGCATGGGCCCTGAGAGAAAGGAATATGATTTCACAAAGAGCACATCAGACTAGCCTAGGTTAATTTCCTTCCAATGACAGTGGAAAACCACATTGATAGTAGTGACAGTAGGTATGAGTGTAAAATTTGAGCAAGGCTTTTGATCTCAGGTCAGAGAAAGTTAGGGATGCTTTGATAGTGTAATACATTACTTACTCTTCAACCTAGGGTCTGCTGTCACTCCTATTCTCTTTTATCATGCACCTAACAAAGTGTGAAACATTGTTGAGTTGTAAAACTCACTTTCTGAAAAGCTTCTGAAACAGAATTGATATTGGCTAGGCAACATGAGGAGTGAGGAAGTTCCTCAAATCCTAAATTTGTATGTATTTTCCTTTTCAAGATCAGATTGTGTAGAGATTCTCAAGAAATGTGGGGACCAGAACAAATTCCCTGAAGACCACACAGCTGAAAGTATTTGTGAGCTTCTGTCACCCACAGATGACCTGGAGAATTGCATACCTTTGGATACATACCTCAGTAAGTACATTTTTTTTTAATTTAAAGGCTTCTGCCTTCTATCTCTGCCCTTGATGTCTGCTTTCATGAGCATCTATCTGTTGAGAACATGTGGTTTGATGATAATATCTCATCTGCGGACTCTTATCTTATTTGCTTGCCCTTTTCAGCCCAGGAAAGAATTGTCATCTTAAAATATGTACTTAGAAGCAACTATCATTATCAGTCTGAGTGGGTAGTGAACTGTTGTCAATCAGAAATTTTTAGTGATGAGTCATGTGTCAGCATTCTCAAATAACCAGGTCTTTATCATTGCTGTCTCCTTGCCATGATTTGATCAAGTTGAATTTCCCCTAGGGAGTCTTCAGCTTCAGCTTCTTGTCATCTGAGTATCAGTGGAAGCTGAGCTAGGCATTGGCTTGGACCTACCCACCAGATAGGGAGTAAGGAATGATGGTCTGGGTTAGTACCTGAAAATGGAGTTTTCCTCTGTACCAAATACTCCTACCTAGAACTAGAAGAATAAGTTTCTATCTCCTCGAGGGATTCTGGAGCTAAGCTTCCTAGCAGAAGGTGACTGTGTGGTGGAAACCAGGGAATAAAATTCATAGACACTATATAGTTAAGGGGCTTCTCTGGTGGCTCAGTAAAAAGTCTACCTGCAATGCTGGAGACCTGGGTTCGATCCCTGGGTTGGGACGATCTGGAGAAGGGCCTGGCAACCCACTCCAGTATTCTTGCCTGGAGAACCGCTGTGGGCTGGTGGGCTATACAGTCCCTGGGGTCGCAGAGTCAGACATGACTGAGAGACTAAGTACATATAGTTAAGAAAAGTGTTTAGGCTACCACTGAGGGGCTTAGTGCTGTGAGCTGGCTCAAAATAGCTTTATTTCCCTGTGTTAAGATAGGATTAAGTTCAGCTGCAAATAATAGAACAGATGGAAGCAAAAGAAAGCCCAGAAATAAACAGTCTAGGGCTGTTACAGTGCAATCCCGGTTCCCTTTTCTTTCTCCACTGTTCTTAGTGCTTGGCTTCCATCATCAGGGTTACTTCATGTACTTTACCATCACAACATGACTGTTTTAATTCTAGCTGCCTCATGGGAAAACCACCCCTCATTGTACGGGAAGCTGGGAAAGATTTCTTATCTGTGGGCCCATTGCCAGCCTGGTAGGAAGTAAAAAGAACAGAGTGGGCACTACGTTTGCAGCTCACAGCATCCACTATATTTTAATCAAGACAAACAGACCGTGTCCCTTAACCTTAGTGACAAGTGTAGAAAAAAGAGAGCATTAGACTCACTAGAATCATAGGCCTCTGTGATTTTAAGCAGATGACTTCTGTGAGCCTCAGCTTCCTTATTTATAAAATGATAGGGCTGGATGAGATAAATTCCATAAGTCCTATACTCTGTTAGCCTTAGAGTCTGAGTCTGGCCTAAAATCCAGTAAGCAAAATGAGTGTATTCATAATCCTGAATGCCAACAGTGTAGTCAAATATATGTGTAGACGGAGACTATTTCAGTGGGAGGAAACTTAAAGAAATGCTTTTGTTTACATTTCAGTACTCTTAAAATGTCACACAGAGTTTGCCTTCCATGTCCATAGGTTCTGCATTTGCAAATTGAAAATATTCAGGAAAAAAAACTCCAGAAAATTCCAAAAAGCAAAATTTGAATGTTGTATACCTGGAAACTACTTACATAGCATTTACATTTTATTTATAACTATTTGCATCATATTTACATTGTATTAGGTATTATAAATAATCTGGAGATAATTTAAAGTATGCAGGAGAGTGTGCTTACATTATATGCAAATTCTACACCATTTTATATAAAGGACTTGAACATTCTCAGAATTTGATATCCATGGGAGTGTTGGAATCAACCCCCCACAGATATATGACTGTATATTAAGTGAGATTTTTCCTTGGTCATTATTTAATAAGTTAACCAATATGATCATGGTATATGGTCCATCTTACCATAATAAATTATCATTATTTATGGTGAACATGCTAAATTATCCCTCTTAGACATAAGCATCTATTTGACCACCTTATTCAAAATATACGTTACGTTCCATCCCTTTATACTGCTTATAGTTATCTGACTTTTTACTTACATTCATACACACACACATGCAGAGTCTATTTATTATCTATTTCCTGACCACAATGTAAACTCTATAGAGATTTGTCTTTTTTGTTCACTTCTGTATCTCCAGAACCTAGAACCTTGCCAGGCATTATCATAGGCACCCAATAAATAAACAAATAAATGAATGTTTGTTTATGCTAAATGCACAGTTGATCAGGAATCAGACCTCATGTTGTTGTTCAGTCCCTCAGTTGTGTCCAGTTCTTTGCCACCCCATGGACTGCAGCACGCCAGGCTTCCCTGTCCTTAACTATCTCCCAGAGTTTGCTTAAACTCATGTTTATTGAGTGGATGATCCAAACCAACCATCTCATCCTCTGCCACCCCCTTCTGCTACTGCCCTGAATCTTTCCCTGCAGCATCAGGGTCTTTTCTGTTGAGTCAGCTCTTCATTTCAGGCGGCCAAAGTATTAGAGCTTCAGCTTCAGCATCAGTCCTTCCAATGAATATTCAGGGTTGATTTCGTTTAGGATTGACTGATTGGATTTCCTTGTTGACCAATGGACCCTCAAGAGTCTCGTCCAGCACCACAGTTTGAAAGCATCAATTCTTTGGTGCTCAGCCTTCTTCATGGTCCAACTCTCACATCAATACATGACTACTGGAAAAACCATAGCTTTGACTATACAGACCTCATTAGCTGTCCATCACTTCCAGATGTCATTAATTCAGACAATTTACAGACCTCTTCTACTCTTTTGGGTGTTTAAACCGATCTGTTTTTGTTTTCTCAGGGCCAAGTTCTTTAGGTAACATTGTTGAAGAGGTGACTCATCCTTGTAACCCAAACCCTTGCCCTGCTAACGAGCTCTGTGAGGTAAACCGGAAAGGATGTCCGTCTGGTGATCCCTGCCTTCCATACTCTTGTGTTCAGGGTAAGAGGCGGGGTGGGGTGTGGGATGGGCAAGGGTGTGTGCTGCTGTTGTTTCTTTATCGGAGTTATCTTCAGAATGAGATTATTTTCTAAATTATGTTTTTCAAATAAACATGCATTATTTATGTAAGCACAGGAAGACAAAAAAATAATTTTCAGTAGTCGTTTAGATTGTAAACTTATTTCACTTTCAAAACCAGATTCTCATAATGAGTCATAAGGTTCTTGACAACCAAAGGAAAAAAGAACCTTGGGCTAGTTTTTTGTACTTGGTCTTCTATGTTGTAATGTTTGAGAAAATGTACTGCACATTAGTCATGTTTTTTTTCTTTTCTTTTCCTTTAATACATAGAGAAATAGTGTTCTCAATTGGATGTGTAATTATCTTCATAAGTTTAATGTTGTGCTGAAATGCAAAATGTTTTAAGGCTGAAAAATTTTTATCCCATAGAATATTTATGATCTTTATCTCTGTGTGGGCCCCTTTAGAATATGTGTGCTTTCTTTTACCTATTGTCCAATTGAAAATATTTCTTTGTCATGTTAGAATCAACATTTTTAAACATGTGAAGTAAAAAGGAACAAAATATTAAATGAGCATATCTCAAAGGGCCCTTTATAATATTTGTGTGATACTTAGAAAAAATGGAGGAGCCATCATGGTCAACAAAAGAGTCCAAAATGCAGTGCTTGGATGCAATCTCAAAAACGACAGAATGATCTCTGTTTGTTTCCAAGGCAAGCCATTCAATATCACGGTAATCCAAGCCTATGCCCCAACCAGTAACGCTGAAGAAGCTGAAGTTGAACGGTTCTATGAAGACCTACAAGACCTTTTAGAACTAACACCCAAAAAAGATGTCCTTTTCATTATAGGGGACTGGAATGCAAAAGTAGGAAGTCAAGAAACACCTGGAGTAACAGGCAAATTTGGCCTTGGAGTA